AGTCACTCTGCAGGCACATTTTGAGGCAGACCAGTTTGTCAGAACCAAAAAAGGGCAAGACTAGGCTGAAAGCAGATGCTATTCCCACCATCTTTGTGCTTTGTCCTGTAGTGAAAAAAAGGAGGGCTCCTGCACCATGATGTGTCCCCGGATCTGTAATATGGAAGTCCCAAAAAGTGTGAGTAAAGAAGAAAAGAACAGTGAAGAAAGAAAGGATGCAGAGACTGAGAGAAGAGAGAGTGAGAATGAAGAAAGGGGGGACATGGCTAGTGAGGATGGACAGGGAGATGTGACACAATCCAATCAGCCAGCAGCCAGTCTATCTGCTCTAAGGGAAAAAAATTTAAGAGACAAGAAATCATCACCAAAAAAGCAAAAGCAGAACCTCAAAACATAAGGAAGGAAATGCAACTCTGAAAAAGAAAATGCAAATCAGGGACATTACAATCAACAAAACATTCTCAAAAGACCAAATTAAGGAATTAGGCAGACTAACCACAAAAGAAATGAAATGGAACAATGACACCATTAAGTTGTTAAAAATCCACTTTGCTGCTGGTCCAACAGGATATCAGACCCTGCAGGAGTGGCAGATTCCCCTGCCAGGATTAAAAACTCTGCAAAGAAAGATGCAGTGTATTAAATCTCAGCCTGGTGTGTTGTCAGAGGTCTTTGATTGCCCCAAACTGAAGTTAAATGGTTTGACAGAGCATGAAAGAGAGACCTAAGACCTAAGTGGAAATGGCAGTCACACCAAGTGTTGAGCTTCACATGCTTTATGGTAAACTGTATGTTGAAGTCTTTTACCAGGTCACACGGGAGTAGCAATACATGCTTGTGTGTTTATGTTGGCTGGAAACACAACACGGTGGAAGCAAGTGGTGTCATATCATTTCAGTGGCAATTCTACGAAAGGAGCAGAATACAGGGCAATAATTATTGAAATCATACAGAGAGCAGCATCAATAGACCTACATATACTTGATGTGACCACTGACAAGGATAGCCCTAACCAGGCCATGTGGAAATTCTATTGGGGTCATCACAATAAAACATCTGTGCCACATCAAGCAGCATTATTGGCGGATGAGAAGTGCTCACTAACACAGATTTTGACATATTTATGAACAATATTTTAGAGAAATAGGCCTTTTGTGTACAAAGTCTTAGATCGGGGGTTACGTACTGTAACCCAGATTCTATGAGAATAGGCGCAGCCCTCAAAGGCTATCGTTATTGGGTTTACCCCTTCCGTGCGCCTGCGCGGCACTGAGAACTTTAGTCTATGCCCACCCATAGCGTGGGCCTCTCCTACATCCAGACAGGGAAACAAAGACACACTGGCGCGCTCCGGGGCCACCAGAATCACCGCCAAGGATAAAAACTGCAGGCAATCCAGGAGGCGTGGGATCAATGGGGGGCCGTCCTGCGGGCTCAGTGAAAACCAAAGTGCGCACTGAGTGTTCTCTTTGTTGGCAAACAGATCCACCTCTGCCTTGCCGAACCGGAGCCAGATCTGGGCCACCAGATCGGGATGGAGACACCACTCATCTGGGCAAGGGCCTCCCCTCAACATGATGTCCGCCCTTCTGTTCAGTACGCCAGGGATGTATTCTGCTCTGATGGAGAGCAGGTGAGTGCGCTCCCACAGGAGCAGCCGTCTGGCCAGACCCAGTAGCTGCGCCAAGCGCATCCTGCCCTGGCGGTTTATGTAGGTGCGGACCAGCACGTGCTGGTCCCTTAGCAGAGGGGAAAAGTGTAGGATCACCCTCCACACAGAGAGAAGCACAAGCGTTTAGGTGGAGAGGCCTGCGGCCCTGCCACAGACCACCCACCACCTGAGAGAGGCAGGTTCCGCCCCAGCCCATCAGGGAGGCTTCTGTGAAGACCGAGATATGGGACGTGACCCCGACCGAGAGAGAGAGAGGAGGTCCCGCCAGTAGGCCAGATCCGGGGCCACAGACAGGGGAACGGAGACGCGGCGCCATCTCTGTCTCACCAGGTTGACACGCAGGCGGATGAACCACCGCTGCAGCTTCCTCATGTGAAGTAGGCCCAGGGGAACCACCGACGGCCCACGTGAGCCGCCGACATGAGGCCCAGGAGCCTCATGACCGACAGAGCTGCCACCGCCGCTCGTGGGACAACATGGTGGAGCAGCTCCACCCTCTCCTGAGAGAGCCGCACTCTCCGGAGAAATAGGTGAGTCTCTGGGAGGGGAGAGGAGCGCTCTTCTTCCAGTTCACTGTGAAGCCTAGGTAAGACAGGTGTGCGACTAGCTGAGCCGTCTGCACCACCGCCTCGTCTCGGGACGGCGCCAGCAGCAGCAGGTTGTCCAGGTAAAATAGGACCCTGATGCCAGACCGCAGCCCACAGCAGCTCCAGGGCCGTCTCGACACACTTGGAAAAAGTGCGCGGGGACAGGGAGTAACCGAAGGGCAGGCGGTTGTATTGGTACTGGGCGCCCTGAAATGAAAACCGCAGAACTTCCTGTGTCTGGGAATGACGGACACATGAAAGTACGTGTCCTTCAGGTAGATGGAAGAGAGCCAGTCTCCCTGGTGCACACACTCCATCAACTGTTTTTACTGTTAACATGCGAAAAGGTCTCACCATAATCGGCATGTTGAACAGTGACAGGTCCAGGATGGGCCTCACACCGCGCGTCTTCTTCCTGACCAGGAAGTAGCGGGAGTAGAACCCCTTATGCCTGAAGCTTCGCCCAGAGAGTCACGTTCTAAGCCAAGGAGGAGAGCACAGTCTCCACAATCCCAGTGAATGGTTGGGGGTTGCGAACTGCAGCCTGTGATCGCAGCGGATCAGGCTGTCCATCCATCTGTGCATCGAGCAGGAAGCGAGCCACTCCGAGTAGCGTCTCTGAAAGTGGTCGGACCTGCAGATGAGGCGCCCTGGTGGCCCTGAAGGGAAGCCACTCTGCTGCCCTTGCCGCCGTCACGGTTCGGGGGGATGCCCAGCCACGACCTATGGGGGAGTGGCCCCCTCAAAGGGCGGGGATGCTGGCAACCTCCGTGTTCCACCGAACAGGAGAGCTTAACAACCTGGCGGGAAGGGAGGGTCACGGGTGTCAGCACACTCCGCCGTGCAGGAGGGAGCGCCTCCCTGCATGGCAGGCACGTGCTAGTCAATCTGTATGAGCCAGTACCCTCTCCACCAGGGCCCTCCGTGCTCCGCTGCCTGGGGGGGTCGCGGGCCACATCGTTAGAGACTTTCACACACAGTCAGAGGGGTCTGTTGGGTCTCCAATGTGTGGGAGGGGTGTGTGAAGGGACCTCTGATCATGAACAGAGTGTACTGCTTGTTGCTTTGAGCTTCAAGCTGCAGATTAGCCACTTGGCTAACAGCAGCTGGCTCACAATGTGGGAAATGTGTGCTTGGTGTGGCTGGTTCGACTGAGACAGGCACAGACAGCATTTGTTCAAGAACTTCCACAAAAGGAGCAACAAGATTTCACACAGCTCTTTTTCAACCCATAGCTTACCAGTGGTCCGCTCTGACCGACGAGGGTCGGCCAGCAGCAATGAAACCGGTTGCTAAATGTCATTAGCTGCAGCTAATGTGGAGCAACGTGGGCACACTGGGTCTCCCTGGTCGGCTGATCCAGGCAGACCGCATGTGAGCGTCACATTAGCTATCCGTTAGCTCCACATTAGCTCCCTGTTAGCTTACCTCGCCTAGTAGCGCCGAGGCCGGCATCATCGGAGGTCAGAAGGGGGGAAGCTCGGAGCTGCTTGGAGACCCGTGAATGGGAAGGGTGGAGCCATCCTAATCCCGTCAACAGCAGATCGAGGGCTTCGTCCAGAGAGCAGGTGGACCCCCACACCTCCTCTGCCTGAACGGCAAAGCTATCCGCCCTGCGCTGCCACTCTTCGGGGGGGCAGAAGGGCTAAGAACGGGCACTGCAAACCAAGAGTGAGCGCTCGGCCAGCGGGCTCCGGTCCGAGGCACGCCTCGCAGCGGGGACGGAGATCACCCAGCACGATGTAGCCCGTGTGGCAGATGCCGCAGCGACTCGCCCCGTTCTTGCCGGCTTGCTGAAAGACATCCTTCTTCTTGTTTTCCGGCTGGAAAGTCTTTTCTTTAGACAATCTTCTGCTCTTTAGACAGCTCAGTGCTGAAGAAAAATGGGGCTGATGGCTGGGCCTTACCGTTGTATATATACAAGGTGCGGACGTAGGAGAGGCCCACGCTGTGGGTGGGTGTAGAATAAAATTGTCAGTGCCGCGCAGGCGCGCGGAAGGGGTAAACCCAATAGCGATAGCCTTAGAGGGCGAAGCCTATACGAAATAGAACTTTGAGTTCAGCTCATGATGAATGGGGGCAAAAACAAAAGTGTTTATAATTTTTTCATTGTATATTGAAAAATATACTGTAGGTCAAGAATAGCTTTAATGTAGACTGTCTTCATCACCAGTGGGAGGCAGCAATGCACGGAAGTGAACAGAAAAAAATAAATAAAATGCCATCAGTTGAAGCGGAACGAAAAGCTCCCGCACTTCCAATGTCGGAACTTAAAAGTGTGACATCCAGCGGAAGTAAACAGTACAAGCGCGAGAGTTAGCCGCTTGAGTTGAATTCACTGGAAGCCTTTATTAGTAGTTAAAGCGCTGCTAATTATTTCCTTTGTAATTAAACAACAATGTCTTCAGCTGAGTGTTTGAGAGAGTTTGTCAACGAGCGACTAACTGCTGCTGCTGAAGAAATATTCGGAGTTATTCAAAAAACTATCGTCGAGTACGAAGAAGAGATCGATCGTCAGCGCAGACTGCTGGATATCGTTTGGAAACCGGAAATAAAGTTACACATGATAGGTGTGTAAAACTTCATTATTATAGTTACACAAAAAAGAGAAATTCGAGTTATTTGACATTCAAACTGTTTCATTAACTTTTATATGCTTCACTGGTATTTCCTCGCGTGTGTGCATCCTTTTCTTTCCCATCCCAGTAGTAGCCTGTTCCTTCTGTTCTCTGTCCCTCCAGAGCTCCCACAGCAACATGTCTGGAAGGAGGAGGAGGTTCTGGCTGACCAGCAGCTCTGTATTCAGGAGAGGAACTCCAGTCTGGACCAAGAGGACCCAGAGCCTCCACAGATTAAAGAGGAACAGGAGGAACTCTGTACCAGTCAGGAGGGAGAGCAGCTTGTACTGAAGCAGGAGACTGATACCTTTATGTTGACTCCTACTTATGAGGAAAGAGACCACAGTGAAGCAGAACTGAAAAGTGACCACCAGCTCCTCTCTCACAGCTGTCATGTAGCTGAGAGCCAAGATCAGAAAGGAGGCGAGCATGAAGACTCAGGATCAACTAGAGATGCAGAGCCAGAACAAAAGAATCAAGATCACAAAAGCAGAAGCCACAGAAACAATGTAAACAACTCTACCATGTCAGAGGTTCACCATAATCCTCACACAGGTAAAAACTCTTTCAAATGTGACACTTGTGGAAAATACTTTAAGTTTAAGTCACTATTGCAGACACACCTGAGAATTCACACGTATGAGAAGCCATATAATTGTGGCAGCTGTGGGAAAAGATTCAGATACGCATCAGAATTGAATGCTCATTTAAGAACTCACACAGATGAAAAACCACATTCTTGCAAAACATGTGGGAAAAACTTCAGATCATGTAGTCACTTGAAAATCCACATGAGAACCCACACAGGCGAGAAACCATATTCTTGCGAAACATGTGGGAAAGACTTCAGAACTAGCAGTTATTTGAAAGTCCACATGAGAACACACACGGATGAGAAACCATTTTCTTGCAGAACATGTGGGAAATCTTTTAGACGGAAGGGTCACTTGAAAGACCACATAAGAATCCACACAGGTGAGAAGCCTTATTCTTGCAAAACATGTGGAAAAGATTTCATAGATAATACTAAGTTGAAAATTCATGTAAGAAGAGCTCACACTGGTGAGAGGCCGTATCTTTGCAAGATCTGTGGGAAAAAATTTGTTGTCTCTGCAACTTTGAAAGCACACATGAAAATCCACACAGGTGAGAAACCGTATTCTTGCAAAACATGTGGGAACAGATTCCGTGACACTTCAGCATTGACAACACACGTAAGAATCCACACAGGTGAGAGGCCATATAACTGTGAAGCATGTGGAAAAGGTTTCAGAACTAGTGGTCACTTAAAAGTCCACATAAAAAGCCACACTGGTAAGAAGCCGTAGCTTTGTATGATCTACAGTAAAAAGATAAGCTTTGTGTATAATGTGGCACAGAAGCTGGCATACAGGGAAGTAGAGGAGAAACGGTACGAACATTTCGTAACACGATTATAGTGACCAAAGTTATCACGGTTATCAGTATTATCACAGTATTGTTAAAACTAGAAAGGAAAAAATAATAGATGTTTTGGAATAATCATGGAAGTTCGTTTCAAATACAAAAATCAGGATTGTGATTTATTTTTTCCCCCAAATTTTCCGGCCTGATAAAGATCCCCGTTTCAATCATGTAGATCCGTAAAAACAATTGTCGTGCCAGCTGCTCTGTTCTCTAATCAGGGTGTTTGGCCGAGGGCTGAACTCAGCTCGTACAAACAGTCAGTGGTAGCCTACACACACACACACACAGCATAGAGGCTGCGGTGGAGGCAGTAAAGCGATGTTTCAACATGCTATGTCCAATGTTGTTATAACTTGTTAAGTTAATTGCGAATTGTCACGAACAAGCTAAAACAAAAGCCGCCTGTATGTTTTATGTTTTATAAATAATCCCAATTTATCTAACGTTATCAAATGTTCTTGGGGGATAACCCCCACCCAAGGCAAACATATTTCTGCGTATATCTAGAAGGCTCTGGTAAGACTTATTCTAGGTTATCGCATGCATTAGAAAATACTATTGACTGGAAAATACACACTACCAAGGAAATGTAGATTTAATAATGCTGGTGAGAATACCAGCTGCAAACACTGCATCTCCCTTCTCTGTTACTAAGCAAACATCAATGGCAGATGCTGTATCCAAGAAGGAAGTAGCCTAGTAACTGTGGAGGTACTATGGGCGCTAAAAATGGCTAATTCACAACATTTTCACAAATCATGTGCAGACACAGGCCTGTTCATTTTCTTATGTTTGATCACAAAAATTAAATGGTCAAAATGTGTCCTGTAAAATGATCAAAATGTACTGATAAACACTGAAACCAAGTTTTATATTCAAGACCAAAAATAAAATTAACTTTCTGTTTGCATCAATGTAAAAATAACCCCCAATACCTTATGTAGACATATGAAAACCAAATGGCTGTTATACAATTTTATATTATTATATAAGTAAATGCAGTGACCCCATGCACAATTAAATGAAGATGAGTCTTAAGAATACAAACAGTGATAGTAATTGCAATGAGCCCAACAACTGACAGAAATGCAGAATAGTCTTGTACAGGAGTCTGCAGCTTTTCTCCTGTTGGAACATTTTTACAATAAAATTCACGACTGCCGAATTTTAAATGCAGAAAACATGTTGGTTGAGTGATTAATCTGCGTAATGTGTTACCAGGTGATGTTGGTGCTTAGAGTCTGCACACATACAGCAGCACAACAACATGTAGTGTTTTTACAAAAGCAGCTAACACTGAGAGCATCAGTTTACAAGCTATTAGCAGGTTAGACAGACAAACCAAAGTAAGCCAAAGGTGAAATCCAGTGACTCTAAAACAGTAGGTCAGACTCTGTCTCTCCTGTCTGTTCAGCTGCCTTGAACTCTGTGATCCTTTCTTTAGGTAACCCCAGGTCCAGATGATCTTTATTTTGTTTCTAGACAGACTGCCTGGCTGTCTTTAGAAAGTGTTGCATGTGACTTGAATGATACACAACATGACTTAGGTCAACTAACTTCTAGGTTTGTTTTGCTCTGTTCTTTTTATTTTACTGATGTTTATGCTGCTTTGTGTGTTTTGTGTATATAAATATTGTTTTGATATGCGTTGTTTGTGTTTCATTTTTGATGACTAATAATATGTTTTTTCATTTGTTTAAATGGGGGAGGTCTCTGAATAAGCTTTTAATGCTTCGTCACTCTCCTGCACTGTAATTACTATTCTTTTATATTTTGTTTCATTTTAGTTTTCATTATTGTGCAAATAAACTAAACTGAACTACAAAATCAGATTTTATGTGTTACTAACATCACTGTTTTATATTACCATATACTGTAAGAAGTCCAATTAAATATTTACGGCCTTAAACGTATGTATACGACATCTGTGTAGTTACAATAGTTATTTTGCAGGTTAAGATAAAACTACAATGAACTCATAAATTACATGCATTATTAACTTACAGGAAATAAAATAGGCACTAGCTGTGACTTTAAATGGTATGCTATATCAATATTTAATACGAAATATATAATTATGTGGCACTGACAGAGGTCATTGTGAATAATGATTCATTTAATGTTTCTTTGAAAATTTGCTTCTGTACTTTTACTTAACTAACATTTTAAATGCACTGTGAATTACACTGTGGATTTTCAACTTAATCTGAATACTTCATCCACTGCTGCTTGTTTTTTGTGCGTAAGTATTTGCAAAGGAACAAAAAAGATGTCTGTGAGTTAAAATGAGTAGTTCAGCGAAGAGTACAAAATAAATTTCCTTGTGGAATGAGGTGAGTTAGATGTACATCTATGCTTCTGATAATAAACATGTTTTGAATAAAATGCCATCAGTTGAAAGTTGAACCAAAAGGCTCCCAAGTCATCCAAGATAAATGCATGGAGGCAATTCTGCTCCTCCATTGGCATGACATGAGAATGGGATGACATTTGGTCAATGATTCAAAAGATGAGTGGGAAAAGAAAATCTGATAAAATTCCCGTGTTTACAGGTGGAGAACATCTGGCAATTAGAAATAAGGAGAAAGCTGTCTTAACTGGGTAAGAAGTGTACATAGTGAAAGTCATTTAGATGAAACACAGAAGCAACTGAAAAGTGATATTTTAAGAGCAAATATTGATGTAACAAAGAAAAGGGATAGTGATGGATCGATGCTACATTAGTTGAAAATTGGTCCTAGACGGAAGTGGATATGTGGCTCCAGGTCAGGTGATGCTATGTTTTAGACGATTACAAGATGAAGACTAGGAAATGATATTAAACCTGTTTAATAAGATACGGAGAAAAGGTGTAATGTCTGTAGTTGGAAAAGTGCTCTGCATCTGACTGCTTCCTGGTAAACCTGGTAAAGACCCCTATGCAGGAAACTACATGCCTATAGTGTTAACATCTCGCTTGACACTGTTTAGAAAAAGGAGGATTGCTAAGCACATATAAAAGTGGATTTTGTAAAGGACAATCTACTGTACATGCTTTAGTTAAAGTAAAAAATGAGGCTGAAACAGGAAGAATAATCAATTGCGATCAGTTGAAAGCGGAACGAACACCTCCCGCATTTCCACTGTCGGAACATAACAGTGTGGCATCCAGCGGAAGTGGACAGTACAAGCACCAGCGTTAGCCGCGTGTTTGGAATTCACTGCGAGGCTTTGTTGGACCGTTAGTCGAAGCGCCGTTAATTATTTCCTTTGTAGTTCAGCAACAATGTCTACAGTTGAGTGTTTGAGAGAGTTTGTCAACGAGCGACTAACTGCTGCTGCTGAAGAAATATTCCGAGTTTTGAACAAAACTATCGTCGAGTACGAGGAAGAGATCGATCGTCAGCGCAGACTGCTGGATATCGTTTGGAAACCCGAAGTAAAGTTACACAGGATAGGTGTGTAAAACTTCATTATTTTAGTTACACAAATAAGAGGACTTCGAGTTATATGAAATCCAAAGTGTTGAATTATATAACAGTGTTTCCCCTAGGATGCGCGTTTTACGTAGTAAGTTATGTCTGAATATGAAACCCCAACACAACATGTCTCAGCAGCATTGCTCTTGTGTAAATGAGCATGCGAGACACATTAGAATACCTTATTTCAGTGTTTCCCCATAGTTTTATTGGAGCTTTAGATAAATGTTTTGTTGGTGGTCGTGTTAATCATGGTCTGGAGGGTCCTCCCCCAAGAAATATTTACGTTTTCCAATGAAAAATATGTAATTTCACACAACATTAGGCCATTATTCCCGCCATGTGTCTGAACAAATAGTTGGAAAAGCTAGAGCAGGTATAAAATCTTTTAAAATCTAAAAACAAACGTCTCACTCATTTGCTTTAACTCATTTTTGCTTTTTTTTTTTGCATAACCTCCTCCATGGTCAACACTGTCCTTTCTTTTCCTAACAACCACTTTTTCAGACTCATCTGAAAACTGAACAATGATTTAGTATGTACCAGTCTGTACAGGACAGAGCTGTAGGCTACACCAGTTTTGTACCTGATGTTCTCAACATTGGACAAGCAGGTGGTAATAAAATACAGTTACCAGTTACTTTCTGTAAATTAACCTATTGTTAACTTGCATAGCAGCCAAAAGACGTAGCCTACCTTTCCTGCTCAGGTGCGCAGTCTGTAGAGGTGGGGAGGTGTTTGTTAGCGCAAACTTTTCCAGCAGTTTGGGAAACCTCCCCACTCGGACAATTAAACACTTGCTACTAGGGATCGGTATCGCTACTCGATACCTTTTATGGTATCGATTTGAAACAGCCCTGTATCGAGTAGTATCGAAACATCTCCAGTCAAGCAAGTACTTCATTCGATATTTTTTACATTTACTCATTTAGCTGACGCTTTTATCCAAAGCGACTTACAATTGCTGTACATGTCAGAGGTCGTACGCCTCTGGAGCAACTAGGGGTTAAGTGTCTTGCTCATGGACACAATGGTGGATGTCTCACAGTGGGAATTGAACCCAGGTCACCCACACCAAAGGCATGTGTCTCATCTATGTGCCGTCACCACTTGATTATTTTTTTTTTTCACCACCCTTTTTTTTTTTTTGTAACAAGATCATGGCAAAATTTACTATTTGTATGGTTTTGTGTGCAGCCATACACGCAAGAAACATACCAAAGGAAAGAGAAGCGCACGTCTCTTTTTTCTTTATGTGCCTGCACCATAAACTGTACAAAAAAGGCCTGTACGTGCTGAGTCAATGCGTGATTTTAACAGCTGCGGTCTCAGGCATGTTTGTCACTGTTGTAGCTCAGGCTGCTTCAGATGTAGGCCTAGTTGGTGTGATCCGCTGGACGTGCAGCCTCTTTGTTTCCCTCTGTTTGCTTCTTTAGTGTTGTTTTGTGGCTTGTTTAAACAGACTTCAAACTCGTTTTATACTTCTTACTGTTGTCTTTATGGAGGTTTGCAACTCACCACTAACGGAAAAAACACTCGTGGGGATCTTTCAATTCAGTTTATTGATCAAAAGTTAAAATAAAATAAAAAAAATCTCTGTTTACGTTCAACAAACATGTCAAAAAAATGAACGTTGTTTCTCACAACTCATTTGGTCACTAAACTATTTCACTCCTCCTCTCTCATTCAAACAGGCCTACAAAAAAACTCCCAAGCTGTAGTCTTTCCCGTATAATACTACCCCTGAGGGTGACTTAATTACGATGAGGAGCAATCTGATACAATTTCCCGATATTTTTATGCAACAGTTATTTGACAAAAAGAAAACAGACCACCTTGCTTGTCCATAACAATAGAAATACAGGGTGGCATAATACGCAAGGTATCGAATGAAGTGCTCTATTAGTATTGGTATCACTTTAAGGGTACTGGTATTGTAAAATTTTAAACAATACCCTACTCGCTACACCCTAAACTCTCGATTGGGAGTTACTCTACTCTTATAACAGCATCTGTCGCGTAGATGTCCTTTGAAGAATGAGAAGAGGAAGAAAGCCAAGCAATGACTGTTACCATGCTCGCACAGTGTGTGAGTGAAAATTAGTAGCGCATTGTAGATATGTTTTTTTTGGGGCAGATGCTGATATTAAAGTTAAAAAGAGCCGATTTATGAGCCAATATTTAGATTTTGAAAATGATTTGGATAGTAGACCCCTTTACTGTACAACATTTACTCATTTGGCAGACGCTTTTATCCAAAGCAACTTACATTTGAGGAACAATATACAAGCATCAACAGAGCATCAAATGTACAGATCTACAACTGAAAATACGTCTAGTAAGAGCAGAAATAAATACTATTAAGAGCTCACTGTACATATCACATCAATGGGGAAAATACCTAGTAAGAGTTAACAAAAGTGCAATCAATACAAGATCATTGTAGGGGATAGAAGAAGAGCACAGGAAGTACATGTTAGAGGTTAGGAGTTAGAGGTGTTATAAGAGGAAAAGTGAACTACACTGATCACCGATCCTAGCTAACGATCCCACAGAAGTTAAATAGCTGAGTTTCCTCACCAGTCAGTCAGAACTGAAGAAGTCTCTTGGATGAGTGACGAAACGTCTTCTAGTTTTTCTGCCTTGACCTCAACCTTCGTTGGATGACCAACTCAGTGCTAACAAAGCCACTCTCTGTGTTGTTTCTACGTGCTCTGGTAGAGTCCAGTAAGCTGATTGTTTTCTTTTGTGTTTTTGTTTGTGGTGAGGCAGTAGGTGACTGCAGCTGGCTTTTGCCGACTTGATGGTCTAACATGAGCTACATGCAACTGGCGGGGAATAAAAACAGCGCTGTCAAGTCGGACACAGTCTGCCTGCATCAGCTTACTGTGCGCTGAGATCAATGACTGATCTCACGGCATGTGCAAAGAAAAATGCCGCGAGACCAGGAAAGTGTGGTTCAAAACTTTGTGCAGCCGGAGTAAAGCAACTGCGGCCGGCGGACTTAGAGGCTGCCTTGCTCCCGCAGGGTTTTAATGTCATGTGAGACGGTGACATTTTGCAGCGCTGGTGAAAGTCTGACACAATTTCTAACCAGCATGCTTTATTTTAAGTTCAGCGTGCATCACGTTAAGTCAGCGCTGCGCAGTGTTGAATGTATTAAGACAAACCTAGTTTTGTTAACAGAGGAGCTGCAGAGCGCCCTCTGGTGGGCAAACCATTGCAACACTCATGACACAATTGAAGGATCTGTCTCTGCTTCTTTTTTAATACTCACTCATATCAGCTGATATTATCAGCCGGTCAATAAATTGGTCGGGCTCTAATAATTGTGTAAAATTTTAGTAGTGATGGTCTTAATTCAGCAGCAGAGCACCGCCGCTCTTAAATACATATAAGGGAAACACTGTACACTGGTATTCATTTCCTTGCATGTCTGCATCTTGTTCTTTCCCATCCCAGTAGTAGCCTGTTCCTTCTGTTCTCTGTCCCTCCAGAGCTCCCACAGCAACATGTCTGGAAGGAGGAGGAGGTTCTGGCTGACCAGCAGCTCTGTATTCAGGAGAGGAACTCCAGTCTGGACCAAGAGGACCCAGAGCCTCCACAGATTAAAGAGGAACAGGAGGAACTCTGTACCAGTCAGGAGGGAGAGCAGCTTGTACTGAAGCAGGAGACTGATACCTTTATGTTGACTCCTACTTATGAGGAAAGAGACCACAGTGAAGCAGAACTGAAAAGTGACCACCAGCTCCTCTCTCACAGCTGTCATGTAGCTGAGAGCCAAGATCAGAAAGGAGGCGAGCATGAAGACTCAGGATCAACTAGAGATGCAGAGCCAGAACAAAAGAATCAAGATCACAAAAGCAGAAGCCACAGAAACAATGTAAACAACTCTACCATGTCAGAGGGTCACCATAATCCTCACACAGGTGAAAACTCTTTCAAATGTGACACATGTGGAAAAGATTTTAGAGATAGGTCAAAATTGAACAGACACATGAAAAGTCACACAGATGAGAAGCCATATTCTTGCAGCAGCTGTGGAAAAAGATCCAGAAACAGATCAGATTTGAATGTTCATATGAGAATCCACACAGATGAGAAACCATTTTCTTGCAAAACATGTGGGAAAGACTTCAGAACTAGCAGTCACTTGAAAGTCCACATTAGAACCCACACAGGGGAGAAGCCATATTCTTGCAAAACATGTGGAAAATCTTTCAGACGGATGAATCACTTGACATACCACATAAGAATCCACACAGATGAGAAGCCATATTCTTGCACCAGCTGTGGGAAGAGATTCAGTACCTCATCAGATTTGAATGTTCATGTAAGAATCCACACAGGTGAGAAACCATTTACTTGCAAAACATGTGGAAAAGATTTCAGAACTAGCAGTCATTTGAACATCCACATGCGATATCATACAGGCGAGAAGCCGTACCTTTGCAAGACATGTGGGAAATGTTTCCATGTAATGACAAAATTGAAAGTCCACATGAGAACCCACACAGGTGAGAAGCCGTACCTTTGCAAAATCTGTGGGAAAAGATTCACTGACAATTCAGGATTGAAAACACATCTGAGAATCCACACAGGTGAGAAGCCGTATACTTGCAAAACATGCGGGACATCTTTTAGACACAGTAATTACTTGAATCTCCACATGAGAAGAGCCCACACAGGTGAGAATCCGTATCTTTGTAAGACATGTGGGAAAAGATTCAATGACACTTCAGGATTGAGAACACATATGACAGTCCACACAGGGGAGAAGCCGTATATTTGCAAAACATGCGGGACATCTTTTAGACAGAATTGCAGCTTGAAAGTCCACATGAGAAAAGCCCACACTGGTGAGAAGCCGTACCTTTGCAAGACCTGTGGGAAAAGATTCAATGACACTTCAGGATTGAAAACGCATATGAGAACCCACACAGGTGAGAAGCCGTATATTTGCAAAACATGCGGGACATCTTTTAGACAGAATTGCAGCTTGAAAGTCCACATGAGAACCCACACAGGTGAGAAGCCGTACCTTTGCAAGATCTGTGGGAAAAGATTCAGTGACACTTCAGGATTGAAAACGCATATGAGAACCCACACAGGTGAGAAGCCGTATATTTGCAAAACATGCGGGACATCTTTTAGACAGAATTGTAGCTTGAAAGTCCACATGAGAATCCACACAGGTGAGAAGCCGTATATTTGCAAAACATGCGGGACATCTTTTAGACACAGTAATAACTTGAATCTCCACATGAGAAAAGCCCACACTGCTGAGAAGCCGTAGCTTTGCACGATCTTGTGGACAATATATGCTGATGTGTCTAATTTGACACGGCACAAAAGATCGAATACAGGCATGTAGCATATTAGCTAAATATGTTGGGAGCATTTGTTGGAAAAGTGTTACTCAAATCAATTACTTGAACAAAAAAATCTGCAAGTAGGGCCCTCTGAAACCCTTTACATCTTTTTTTTTTTTTTTTTTTTCATATTTTCTGTTTTCATTTTTCTGAATTGTGTATGTTAGATTTAAGCGCATTTCGTCATCAGAAAGAGTGTTTAGCATGTGGTTGATTAATAAAATAATAATTCAGTATCAGTGAATTTGGCGTATCATACAGAAATGCTTATAGAAATAATCAAATGTATGCACCATTATTTATGGAACCCAATTCACAATAAATGTATTGCAGTGGTAGGATATTAAAACACTAACGTCAGGCCACCAAGCCATTCTTAAATTCAAAATCCATTCATCCTTATTACTGTTCCATGTAGTATAGTTTATTTCTGTTTACCTTTTTATGATTGTTGTATATTGACTGTTTCTTGTCTGGTATGTAGCAGAAGGGAGTTGCAAACAGAATTTCTTTTTACAACCCTGTTGTAAAATGACAATAAAATAATTTTGAATCCTTGAAAGTACTGTGAAATTATTTAGTTATACTATTTAATAGGGGACAATTCACAGTGAATGTATTGTTGCAATACATGTACTGTAAGTTGTCTTCTATTAAATAGGTGATTACCTGACTACTGAGAATCTGTTCTCACAGGACAGCCTCCATATGCTGCTGAGCACACATTGATAAGTGGGTCTGACGTAGGCTACTCTCATGTGGGCAATGCTCCTCCTAGTTTACAAAGCTTGACCGGTCGTAGCTTTCTCATTTTTTCCCAACTTAATATCTGACTCCGCCCACACAGCCACTAAGTATTCATCAAGCTTGCATTTTGCGTCCACTGATGTGATTGCACTTGAGAGTTTGTTGAAGTGATGAGCTTTTTCTAGTGTCCCGACGCACTTCAACATGACTGTGTGAGCCAACGATTGAGTAAGAAGGAGGCGCTGAATGGCAGCAGCATAGGTTTTTTCTGTTCATTTGGCTTAAGTGCTGTGGAAACCCAGATTTTTATAAATTGCCTTCACATTTTTGCAGATTCCACGATATTCTGCGTTTTACAGTTGATTAACATTTTTATTATCAATTTCTACGATTCCATCTGTGTTTTCTGCATTGTGGAGATCCATCATCTATGAATGGAAAACTTGCAGTATAGCTACATCTCAGCTGAAGGTTAAATGAGATGTCAATTTCTTAGTGTAAGGTTTCCCTACATGTGACTGTATTACTTGTGAAGGAGTTTCTCCTTCAGTAAGGCTTATATCACACAGGTTTCCCCAGGTCATGTAAGGGTCATTTACTGAGCTACAGTAAGCCAAAGGTGACATCCTGTGACTCTGAAACAGTAGGTCAGACTCTGTCTCTCCTCTCTGTTCAGCTGCCTTGATCAGAACGAACTCTGTGATCCATTCTCTAGGTAACCCAAGGTCCACATGATCTTAATTTTGTTTCTTTACAGCCAGACTGACCAGCTGTCTCTAGAAAGTGTTGCATGTGACTTGAATGACACACAATGTAACTTAGGGTAACAAACTTAATTCTAGGATAGTTTTTCTGTTATTTTTCTTTTACTGCTGTTTATACCTGTTTGTGTGCTTTGTGTATATAGATATTGTCCTGCCATATGTGTTGTGTTTTGTTTTTGGTGAGTAGTAAAGTTTTTTTTAGTGTTTAGTTATTTTCTCTCCTGTACTGCAATAAGTCTTTTCTATTATATGCATTTGTATTTTCATGATTATGCAAATAAACTGAACTAAAGAGTGACATTTTACATTTGAGGGTTGCTGACATCAGTGTTTTATATTGCTATATAAGAATTCCAATTAAATACTTACAATGGAATCAAGTATTTCGGGAACCCTACCAGTGCCCGGGCCCACATCACATGCCATCACCCAGAGCTGCTTTCATGCCATAATTTGCCACACAGCCTGTGTTAGCACACAGTGGACTGGGGCAGATCCAGAGATTAGCACCCCTGTGTACTGAAGCAAGAATCAGTTTTTGATCTGAAATTGTTTTGAATTGAGAATCGATTTTGAATCCAATTGTGATCCAAAGTGACCCCTACTTTGCAGGTTAAGAAAAATAATTAATGAGCTTTATAATAATATGCATTGTTCAACTATCCAACAGGATATAGAATGGATGAAAATGAATCTTGACTTGCTGCTATGTACAAATGTATTGTAAATGTATAAGTAATTAACATCAATTGTTATATGATTATGTTGCACTGCCAGTGTGAATTACACTGTGGTATTTCTACTTTAACAATTTGAATACTTCTTCCACCACTAGGTATTTGTTTTTGTGCAAAATTATTATCTGCAAAGTAAAAAACAAAGACTAGTGTAGTAGTTGAAAAAGGAGTACCAAATTTCATTGTGAACTGAAGTGAGGTAGATGTACATCTTTGCTACTGATAATAAACACATTTTGAGAGGGGAACGAAAAGCTCTCGCACTTTCACCGTCGGAGCTTAACAATGTGACATCCAGCGGAAGTAAACTGACCAAGCGACAGCGTTAGTCGTGTTTGAATTCACTGGAAGTCTTTATTGTAGTCGTAGCTCCTCTAATTATTTAATTTGTCATTAAGCAACAATGTCTTCAGTTGAGTGTTTGAGAGAGTTTGTCAGCGAGCGACTAACTGCTGCTGCTGAAGAAATATTCCGAGTTTTTATAAAAACTATCGTCGAGTACGAGGAAGAGATCGATCGTCAGCGCAGACTGCTGGATATCGTTTGGAAACCCGAAGTAAAGTTACACAGGATAGGTGAGGAAAGCTTCATCATATAGTTACACAAAGCAGAGCATATTATATAATTATTCAAAGTGTTTAAATATATACTGGTACTGCATCTTGTTCTTTCCCATCCCAGTAGTAGCCTGTTCCTTCTGTTCTCTGTCCCTCCAGAGCTCCCACAGCAACATGTCTGGAAGGAGGAGGAGGTTCTGGCTGACCAGCAGTTCTGTATTCAGGAGAGGAACTCCAGTCTGGACCAAGAGGACCCAGAGCCTCCACAGATTAAAGAGGAACAGGAGGAACTCTGTACCAGTCAGGAGGGAGAGCAGCTTGTACTGAAGCAGGAGACTGATACCTTTATGTTGACTCCTACTTATGAGGAAAGAGACCACAGTGAAGCAGAACTGAAAAGTGACCACCAGCTCCTCTCTCACAGCTGTCATGTAGCTGAGAGCCAAGATCAGAAAGGAGGCGAGCATGAAGACGCAGGATCAACTAGAGACGCAGAGCCAGAACAAAAGAATCAAGATCACAAAAGCAGAAGCCACAGAAACAATGTAAACAAGTCTACCATGTCAGAGGTTCACAATAATTCTCACACAGGTAAAAACTCCTTCAAATGTGACACATGTGGTAAATACTTTAGAGATAAGTCAGATTTGCAGAGACACCTGAGAATTCACACAGGTGAGAAGCCATATTCTTGCACTAGCTGTGGGAGAAGATTCAGTACCTCATCATATTTGAAGACTCATATAAGAATCCACACAGGTGAGAAACCATTTTCTTGCATAACATGTGGGAAAGAATTCAGAACTAGCAGTCACTTGAAAGTCCACATGCGATATCCCACAGGTGAGAAGCCGTACCTTTGCAAGACCTGTGGGAAATGTTTCTGTGAGATGTCAAAATTGAAAACACACATGACATCCCACAGAAGTGAGAAGACATATACTTGTGAAACATGTGGGAGATCTTTTAGACAGAGAACTGGCTTGAAAATCCACATGAGAATAGCTCACACAGGTGAGAAGCCATACGTTTGTAAAACATGTGGGAAATCTTTTAGCCAGAGTTGTCACTTAAAAGTCCACATGAGAACCCACACAGGTGAGAAACCGTATCTTTGCAAGACCTGCGGGAAAAGATTCAATGACACTTCAGGATTGAAAACACATATGACAATCCACACAGGTGAGAAGCCGTATACTTGTGAAACATGTGGGACATCTTTTAGAAAGAAATGTATCTTGAAAGTCCATCTGAGAACCCACACAGGTGAGAAGCCGTACCTTTGCAAGATCTGTGGGAAAAGATTCAGTGACACTTCAGGATTGAAAACACATGTGACAGTCCACACAGGGGAGAAGCCGTATATTTGCAAAACATGCGGGACATCTTTTAGACTGAAATGTAGCTTGAATGTCCACATGAGAAGAAGCCACACAGGTGAGAAGCCGTACCTTTGCAAGACCTGTGGAAAAAGATTCACTGACACTTCAGGATTGAAAACACATATGAGAACCCACACAGGTGAGAAGCCGTATATTTGCAAAATATGCGGGACATCTTTTAGACAGAATTGTAGCTTGAAAGTCCACATGAGAAGAGCCCACACTGGTGAGAAGCCGTAGCTTTGCACGATCTTCTGGACAATATATGCTATAGAAATATTCAAATGTATGCACCATAATTTATGGAACCCAAATCACAATAAATGTTTTGCAGTGGTAGGATATTAAAACACTAACGTCAGGCCACCAAGCCATTCTTAAATTCAAAATCCATTCATCCTTATCACTGCTCCATGTAGTATAGTTTATTTCTGTTTACCTTTTTGTGATTGTTGTGTATCAGACATTTATCTGGTTGTAAATAATTAATATTGACTGTAAGTAGTACGTACTATGTAAAATGTTAATTGTATATTGATCGCATATAGTGTGTTTTCAGTGTATATATTTATATATCTATATTGAATGTTACTGTTTCTACAATACTGCTCCTGTTCTTTTATATTCCTTTGTGCTGCTATGTCAACCGAAATTTCCCCTACGGGGGATTAATGAAGTTATCTTATCTTAAAGCTAAAAACTTATGGCAGGCTTATATAATGAGATGCACTCTTAACATAACTTTTAAACAGGTTGTAAAATAGGTAAAACGTAGCTGAATGTTGACCAGCTTTCCACATGTTATGACATCAGTTAATAAAATATTATATAATTATGTGGCATTAGGGCCATTCTGCATAATGATTAATCAAACATTCCTTACTCTGAATATATTTTGCTAATAGTAGCCTTCTTCTGTGCTTTTACTTACCTAACAATTTGAATGAATCTAAATCATCGCATTGGACCTACTTCTTCCACCACTGATTTTTTGTTTTTTTGTGCAAAATGATTATGTACAAAGTAACAAAGAAAGACGACAAATGAAAGTGGAACAAAAAGCTCCCGCACTTCCACTGTCGGAACTTCACAGTGTGATGTGATGAAAGTAAACAAACCGAGTGCCAGATTTAGCCGCGTGAGTTCAGTTTACTTGAAGACTTTAGTATAGTTTTAGCGCCGCTAATTAAATCATTTGTAATTAAGCAACAGTGTCTTCAGATGAGTGTTTGAGAGAGTTTGTCAACAAGCCTTTTTATGATAACTGCTGGATATTGTTTGGAAACCCGAAATTAAGTTATACATGATAGGTGTGTAAAGCTTGATTATTTTAGTAACAGAAATACGAGGAATTCGGGTTATATGAAATCCCAAAGTGTTTAAATAAAAAATATACTGGTACTCATTTCTTTTCCTGACATCTGTCGTCATGAAGTCTGAAAGACTGGTGTTGGTCCACTTGAAGGACATTACAGGCCCCCTGCTGGACCCCCTGCAGTTTGCCTACAGGGCTAACAGGTCAGTGGATGATGCTGTAAACGCAGGACTGCATCACATCCTGCAACATCTCGACTTTCCAGGGACATATGCAAGGATCCTGTTCATAGACTTCAGCTCGGCGTTCAACACCATCATCCTGGACATCCTCAGCACCAAACCCACCCAGCTCACTGTGCCAGCCTCCACCTGTCAGTAGATCACAGACTTCCTGACTGACAGGAGTCAGCAGGTCAGGCTGGAGAATATCACATCCAGTACCCGGACTATCAACACTGGCGCACCCCAGGGGTGTGTGCTCTCCCCCCTGCTCTTCTCCATCTACACCAACGACTGCACCCCAGGAGACCCATCTGTCAAACTCCACACAACGGTCATCAGCCTCATCCGGGACGGTGAGGAGTCGGCCTAGCACAAAATGCAAATGGGAAATCCGTGGACGATCCTAGTATTTTGTTATCCTATTCAGGCTACACACCTCTGTGAAGTTAGGAGGCTCGGCTAGAAGCTCAAACCAACCATTTTTATCCACACCAAACACCAATCAAGCATCTAAATAAGCCTACACCACAACATAAATGGCTTTGTAATCACTGTACATGGCTGCAGTTATAAGCATCCAGTTATGGCTAATCACAGTGTATCCTCATGTCCTCTCAAACCAAAGCTAATCTCCCGCTGAGATCAGCTGTACAGCTCATATTACTCAAATCACCAAAATTACAGACTAATTAGCTGGATAAAAGTAACAACAAACGAGCGAATATGCATATACAATCACCACTGACTTAGTTTTGCAGTTTTCGCCGTTTCGAGTCCAAAAATAACTCAGTTGTTGACAAAAATAATTCCAGCCACCATTTTGGATATTGCATATTGCCTGGGAGTTGTGTGCCTGCCTTCTCTCCCTTTTTTCTGCAGAGAGGAAGTGTGCCGCTTTTTTACACCCACTCTTTTTTGTGGTTTGGTAGCCAACTCATAGTAGTTACATAGACATCCAGGGTATCAAATGAAAGGTCGATCGATGCCCCATCACTGTGGGATGTTCCGTTCTCACGCTACACGCCTTTAAAACATGGGTGTGCTTTTGATCACAGGAATGTTAATCAATATTCACTATTTTTAGTTTTGGAACCTTTATGTTATTTGGAACGTGGTCGTATGGACAGAAATAGTGTTTTAAAGATAACTCCCAATAAGAGTCAACATTTAAACAGTAAATATTGTCAAAATATGGACATTCGCCTGGTAAATTCTTTAAATTATTGATAACTGTTGTATTTTAGTTTATTGTCATCACATTTGTAGCTACAATTGCATTCCAGGCATATTAGAATATATTCAGTTGCATTACAATTTGTCTTACGATGGTTTTGATGGTTTATTGCATTAAAAATATGGCTTTTTTAGCAGGCAAGGATGAAAAATATATTTTCCTTTATAGCTACTCCATTTATTCCGTGATGGTAAAATAAATATGTTAAGTTACAGTGGATTTATATTCCTTAGCTTCTGAACCTTCAAAGGAGACCAGAATTATGCATCTAGGCCAAGTGGTTGAGGAGTTATTACTGATTCATTTTTCATGTTATTTTAGGCATTTTTCCTTGAAAAGTGTGGCAGTCCCCACTTAATCAGCTGGCTCTCTGGTGCTGCCAGAACAACCTGGAGCTTAACACGCTCAAAACTGTGGAGATAATTGTGGACTTCAGGAGGAGCCTCCCCCACTCTGCCCCCCCATCACCATACTCAACAGCCCTGTGTCTGCTGTGGAATCCTTCAGGTTTCTGGGTTCCACTATATCCCAGGACCTGAAGTGGGAGCCCAACACGGACACCATAATCAAGAAGGTCCAGCAGAGGATGAACTTCCTGCGCCATCTCAGGAAGCTCAACCTGCCTAAGGAGCTGCTGATCCATTTCTACACAGCCATCATCCAGTCTGTCCTCTGCACCTCCATCACTGTCTGGTTTGGATCTGCCAGCAAAAAGGACAGGAGCAGACTACAACGGACAGTCAGGAATGCAGAAAAGATTGGTGCCAACCTGCCCTCCATTCAGGACTTATACATTTCCAGAGTCAGGAAACGTGCAGGAAACATCAATGCGGATCCATCTCACCCCGGACACAACCTGTTCCAGCTTCTCCCCTCTGGTAGGCGCTACAGAGCACTGTACGCCAAAACCAACAGACTCAGGAACAGTTTCTTCCCCCAAGCCATCACTCTGATGAACAGTGAATGAAACGTCTGCAATAACCCAGTAACTCTGAGACCTGTTTACTGGCTGACACTTACCATTTATTCATCATTCTCTATTTCAGAGCTGTTCATACTGTTCATAGTGTCATATATTGTAGATACTGTATACCAAATCCACCTACCGCATATATAACACCTGCACATAATACTTATTTATTCCTGCATCCTTTGCACTGTGCTCCATCACACTGTGTACATGTGTACATGCATGCTTGCATGTGTATGTGCACCTGTATATCACATCCACCCATTAACAATAATGGTAATAATAATTTACTTCTGCATCCTTTGCACTCTGCTCATTGCAGTATTGTCTCAATCTATTTTGTTTTGTTTATAGTGTGTGTATATATGTGTTCTCTATGCTGTAGCTTGTGTGATTTTATTACTGTATGATTGTATAAGTAAGCACATCGTGAGCATTGTACAATCCAGAGTCAAATTCCTCATATGTGTACACAAACCTGACAATAAAGCGTCTGATTCTGACTTCCCATCCCAGTAGTAACCTGTTCCTTCTGTTCTCTGTCCCTCCAGAGCTCCCACAGCAACATGTCTGGAAGGAGGAGGAGGTTCTGGCTGACCAGCAGCTCTGTATTCAGGAGAGGAACTCCAGTCTGGACCAAGAGGACCCAGAGCCTCCACAGATTAAAGAGGAACAGGAGGAACTCTGTACCAGTCAGGAGGGAGAGCAGCTTGTACTGAAGCAGGAGACTGATACCTTTATGTTGACTCCTACTTATGAGGAAAGAGACCACAGTGAAGCAGAACTGAAAAGTGACCACCAGCTCCTCTCTCACAGCTGTCATGTAGCTGAGAGCCAAGATCAGAAAGGAGGCGAGCATGAAGACTCAGGATCAACTAGAGATGCAGAGCCAGAACAAAAGAATCAAGATCACAAAAGCAGAAGCCACAGAAACAATGTAAACAAGTCTACCATGTCAGAGGTTCACCATAATCCTCACACAGGTAAAAACTCTTTCAAATGTGACACATGTGGAAAATACTTTGAGAAGCTATACGTTTGTAAAACATGCGGAAAATCTTTTAGCCAGAAATGTAGCTTGAAAGTACACATGAGAGCCCACACAGGTGAGAAGCCGTACCTTTGCAAGACCTGTGGGAAAAGATTCAGTGCCAGTTCAGGATTGAGAACACTTATGAGAATCCACACTGGTGAGAAGCCGTATACTTGCGAAACATGCGTATACAGCCATGCAGCATATTAGCTAAATATGTTGGGAGATAATTCTGTTCTAGAGGTTTGTGGTCAAAACACACAAGAACTCACAGAAGTGAGGAGCTGCATCATTGCAGCATTTGTGGGGAAAGCTTTACTCAAATCAATTACTTGAACAAAAAAAACTGCAAGTAGGGCCCTCTGAAATCCTTTACATCTTTTTTTGAGATTCTATTTATTTTTTTATTTATTTTTTTACATATTGTTTTCTGTTTTAATTTTTCTGAATTGTGTGTGTTTAGATTTAAGCGCATTTCGTCATCAGAAAGAGTGTTTAGCATGTGGTTGATTAATAAAATAATAATTCAGTATCAGTGAATTTGGCGTATCGTACAGAAATGCTTATAGAAATATTCAAATGTATGCACCATTATTTATGGAACCCAATTCACAATAAATTTTTTGCAGCAGTAGGATATTAAAACACTGTAACATCAGGCCACCAAGCCATTCTTAAATTCAAAATCCATTCATCCTTATTACTGCTCCATGTAGTATAGTTTATTTCTGTTTACCTTGTTATGATTGTTGAGTATTGACTGTTTCTTGTCTGGTATGTAGCAGAAGGGAGTTGCAAAGAGAAATTATTTTTACAACCCTGTTGAAAGGCCAGTTGTAGCTTTCTCATTTTTTCCCAACTTAATATCTGACTCCGCCCACACAGCCACTAAGTATTCATCAAGCTTGCATTTTGCGTCCACTGATGTGATTGCACTTGAGAGTTTGTTGAAGTGATGAGCTTTTTCTAGTGTCCCGAAGCACTTCAACATGACTGTGTGAGCCAATGATTGAGTAAGAACAGGACCGGCCCTGGCAATGTTGGCGCCCTAGGCGAGATTCAAACGGCGCCCCTAACCCTAAAAAGGCCACTTAATGGCCATTGCTCCCCTATCCTCAAGAATGTTTTAAATGTTCAGCTGGCAAACTCACAATTTTAGCATGTATAAATGAAAAGCCAAGTCATTAATCATGGTCAATAATGAATTATTGTTATCTGCATACTTGTCAATCTCAACATCTTAGCCTAAATTAGGAGACCAAACCTATTCCCCTCCTGAAACTGTGTCTCAACCCAGAGACTGTTTTCTTGCAGTATGTGGCAGATTTCTTGAAATGCAAGACCATTGGTTTAGTTTCAATAGTGGAGATGACTCAAATGAGGGTCTGGGGGTCCTCCCCCAGAAAGATTTAAGCATTGGTGACTTCATTTCCTGCATTCTGGTGACATTTCTGCCTTTTCTGCCTCAATTTATGGTGAAAAAGTCTTCATTTAGGGGAACACAAAATTCAGGCAGCAGGTGACAATTCAAAATATAAAAAATGTACAGAACATAATGCAGTGAGGCTTTCAGACATTCTGTAGCTATTTCTTTTAAATAGCCAATATTAATAAATATATTAATTTATTAAATATAATAAAAAAGACGTAATATTAAGAGACTAATGTCATCATTTGATCATCATCTTTTAAGTCTACCCTCTGCTGTGCATTACTTATTGCTCCTCTATGAGAAGCCGTCTAGGCCAAAATTGAATACTTTGCTTGCTCATACATATATACACGCTCGCATATACATACTGTCATGCACATACATACATACTTGCATACTAGTATGTATGTATCTGCAAGGTGAGTATTTATGTCTGCACAAGGTTAGTGTGTATATATGCGCGAGTATATACACGAGTGTATGTACACTGCTCAAAAAAATAAAGGGAACACTTAAACAACACAATGTAACTCCAAGTCAATCACACTCCTGTGAAATCAAACTGTCCACTTAGGAAGCAACACTGATTGACAATCAATTTCACATGCTGTTGTGCAAATGGAATAGACAACAGGTGGAAATTATAGGCAATTAGCAAGACACCCCCAATAAAGGAGTGGTTCTGCAGGTGGTGACCACAGACCACTTCTCAGTTCCTATGCTTCCTGGCTGATGTTTTGGTCACTTTTGAATGCTGGCGGTGCTTTCACTCTAGTGGTAGCATGAGATGGAGTCTACAACCCACATAAGTGGCTCAGGTAGTGCAGCTCATCCAGGATGGCACATCAATGCGAGCTGTGGCAAGAAGGTTTGCTGTGTCTGTCAGCGTAGTGTCCAGAGCATGGAGGCGCTACCAGGAGACAGGCCAGTACATCAGGAGATGTGGAGGAGGCCGTAGTAGGGCAACAACCCAGCAGCAGGACAACTACCTCCGCCTTTGTGCAAGGTGGAGCAGGAGGAGCACTGCCAGAGCCCTGCAAAATGACCTCCAGCAGGCCACAAATGTGCATGTGTCTGCTCAAATGGTCAGACTCCATGAGGGTGGTATGAGGGCCCAACGTCCACAGGTGGGGGTTGTGCTTACAGCCCAACACCGTGCAGGACGTTTGGCATTTGCCAGAGAACACCAAGATTGGCAAATTGGCGCCCTGTGCTCTTCACAGATGAAAGCAGGTTCACACTGAGCACATGTGACAGACGTGACAGAGTCTGGAGACGCCGTGGAGAACGTTCTGCTGCCTGCAACATCCTCCAGCATGACCGGTTTGGCGGTGGGTCAATAATGGTGTGGGGTGGCATTTCTTTGGGGGGCCGCACAGCCCTCCATGTGCTCGCCAGAGGTAGCCTGACTGCCATTAGGTACCGAGATGAGATCCTCAGACCCCTTGTGAGACCATATGCTGGTGCAGTTGGCCCCGGGTTCCTCCTAATGCGAGACAATGCTAGACCTCATGGGGCTGGAATGTGTCAGCAGTTCCTGCAAGAGGAAGACATTGATGCTATGGACCGGCCCGCCCGTTCCCCAGACCTGAATCCAATTGAGCACATCTGGGACATCATGTCTCGCTCCATCCACCAACGCCACGTTGCACCACAGACTGTCCAGGAGTCGGCGGATGCTTTAGTCCAGGTCTGGGAGAAGATCCCTCAGGAGACCATCCGCCACCTCATCAGGAGCATGGCCAGGCGTTGTAGGGAGGTCATACAGGCACGTGGAGGCCACACACACTACTGAGCCTCATTTTGACTTGTTTTAAGGACATTACATCAAAGTTGGATCGGCCTGTAGTGTGGTTTTCCACTTTGATTTTGAGTGTGACTCCAAATCCAGACCTCCATGGGTTGATAAATTTAATTTCCATTGATCATTTTTGTGTGATTTTGTTGTCAGCACATTCAACTATGTTAAGAAAGGAGTATTTAATGAGATTATTTCATTCATTCAGATCTAGGATGTGTTATTTTAGTGTTCCCTTTATTTTTTTGAGCAGTGTATATATGTGAGGGTGAGTATGTGTGTATGTGCAAGGTTAGTATGTACAGAGAGGAGAACAAGTATTTGATACACTGCTGATTTTGCAGACTTTGCTACTTACTTCTGCTTTTCTGATGTATCAAATACTTATGTCATGCAATAAAATGCAAATTAATTATTTAAAAATCATACAATGTGATTTTCTGGATTTTTGTTTTAGATTCCGTCTCTCACAGTTGAAGTGTACCTATGATAAAAATTACAGACCTCTTAATTCTTTGTAAGTAGGAAAACCTGCAAAATCAGCAATGTCAGCCTCTCAACTCCACAGGAGCTGCTGCTGAGTTTATTAACCCTGAGAGGAGGGAAATACTGCATTTTCTGTTCTAGAAAGAGCAACTTTAACTCCTGTGACAACTTTAACACTGTAGTGAGGGAGGAGCATCTGCCAATCACAGACTGGGAACTGATCAAATAAAAGCCTCAGCTAAATCAGTAAATGCCAATGAAACGTGTGAAGGTTTATTAATAGTGAATTAACTCCACAGACTTATCTGGATGAGTGGTGCAGTGGCAGAAAAATTGATTTTTATACAGTAGGTTCCTGGTTCAAATCCCAGGCATAAGCAATTTCTTTACATTTTTTCAAGGGGATAATAGTAGTGGTAGTAGATAATAATAATTTGTTTTTCTTTAAAAATGTTCCTCTTCCTCCTAAATGTAATTGTGACCATAACAGGTGATTTCTTATGACTGGCGGACTAATCTGCTTTTTGCGCAGATTCAGTTTTTTGACATTTACCTGACGCTATCCAAAGCAACTTACAATTGCTATACATGTCAGAGGTCACACGCCTGGAGCAATGAGGGGTTAAGTTTCTTGCTCAGGGACACAATTGGTGTCACAGTGGGAATCGAACCCATGTCTCCCACACCAAAGGTATGTGTCTTATCTATGCGCCATCACCACCCATTGATACAAAACAATTATTCTACCACTGCGTCACTCATCCAGTAATAAACCAGTAATAAACCATCACTTGTTTTGCTTTCAAAGCAAGGCCCCACACCCCTCTTGTAATACGGCAGTAGAGTAGTAGTAGTAGAGATGGTGGACACCTACAAGTTCCTGGGGTTGCACCTCAAAAACAAACTGGACTGGACAGACAACACAGAGGCCCTTTACAGGAAAGGACAGAGGTGGCTGTTCTTCCTGAGGAGGCCAACAAACTGTGCAAGCTGGTGAAGAAGGCCAGCTCAGTGGTGGGAATGGAACTGGACAGTGGGGAGGCAGTGACTGAGAGGAGAATAAGCGGGAAGCTGAAATCCATCATGGACAACCCCTCTCATCCTCTCTATGCTGAGCTGAGGCAGCTGGGATTTGAACCGGGACCTACTGCATGGAAATCAATTTTTCTGCCACTGCACCACTCATCCAGACAAGTCTATAATTCACCAGAGTTAATTCACCAGTAATAAACCTACATTGGCATTTACTGATTTAGCTAAGGCTTTTATTTGATATACATATATTCATACTTTTACTCGCACATACATACATATTCAGTTTGTGTATATATACATACTTTACCTCGCGCATATATACATACTAACCTTGCACATACATACATACTCACTTTGCGCATATATACATACTCACCCTCACATATATACATACTTAAACTCGCGAATATATACATACTAACCTTGTGCATACATAAATACTCACCTTGTGGATACATACATACTTATAAATGACAGTATGTATGTATGTGCAAGGGAGTATGTGAATGTGAATGCAAAGTATGGAATTTTGGCCTAGGCGGTGTCTCATACGCCGCTGGAACTCTCCCCTTTAGACCGTTTGACCAACACAGGCTTCCCCCGCAGCCACTTGCGGAGCTCTTCAACTCCGACAATATTCAAGCACATTTTTGATCGGCCATCACTTCTCGTAAAACTGTCAATATTTGAAATCTACACAGCTGATTTCTCACCTCAAAAGTGGATTTAGTGATGAAATTACATACGAAAACTAAAATATAAAACTTTCTGTTGCTGGCCTCTGTCTGGTGCACAATGATGATGCAGTGAATGCAGTGGTCTGGGGCAGCTGTGGCTCAGGAGGTAGAGCGGGTTGGCTGTTAATCGGAAGGTCGGCGGTTCCATCCCTGGCTCCCCCTGGTTGCGTGTCGAAGTGTCCTTGGGCAAGCTACTGAACCCCAATTTGCCCCTGGCAGCTGTTCCGCCAGTGTGTGAATGTTAGTTTCCGTTTAAGCACTTAGGCTCAGTGTATGACTGGTGAATGCAGATGTAGTGTAAAAGTGCTTTGATTGGTCGAAAAGATATACAAGTACGGAATAGTGAATATTCTCTCTGACTAATCAGCAGTCTGTCCTGTTTTCAAGTTACATTTTAGTATCCCTCAGCTCGCTTGGAACCTCGACGGAGGTGAGGTGATACGAAAAAAAGTACCTGGAAGCAGGTACAGGTGCAACATTTCTACAATGGAAAACCAAACAAAGGTGAGTGGAGCCAAAGGGCCTCTGCTCAGACTAGCTTGGTTTGAGGGCGTGCCTGACCCCGCTAGCCACTTGGCAAGCTTTATGACGCGTTTTCATTGTGACGTCACAAGTAAAGGAAGTGAAGGGCTGGACTACAAACGAGCTGTTTTCAAGCGGTTCAGAGCAGAGCTTTCTGTGGGAGATGGGAACTCCCTTTGGGCTGGACTTTGGGCTTTTTCACTTTGCAAACCTGTTATATGCAAAAAAGAGATGTAACTCAATAAAGGAGAGGGGAAAAGCCAAAAAGCATAATACCACCTCTTTAAAACAAAATGCAGTTACTATTTTCAACCACTAGATGGCAACTGTAGCCCTACTGAGACATGACTACTGGCAACATGAGACTTGAAAGTTACTAGACATTAGGGACCGCCCTGGTAGACATCAGTTGCCAGATCTCGCGATAAACAAACTGGCCATTTTTAAACGAGGGATACGTTACGATTTCGGCCTTTCAGCGAGCAACGAGCGAGAGTTTACTGCAGACACTGGAAGCAAAAAGACATTTACTTTGGTCTTGTAAGTATCTGTGTCTTTGTTTGACATGTCTTCATTATTTATCTACATTATATGTTAACGTGTAGGAACCGTGACATTTCAGCGTGTAAGTGTAGAGTAAGGCATGTTGTGGTTAGCTTAACATGCTGCATGCAAGTGTAACTTAACGTTACTCCATGATATCCACGGGTATTTTACTCACTAGATCATTATGATGTGAAAATATGAGTTTTTGACTTTTGACCCTAATATTTATTGCAAATTATCCAGCATACAGTCACAACAATAAATATTCAGAACACTTACATTCACAGCACATAGCGCTCTCAAAAGAATAAAAGCAGCTTTCCCTATTGTCTATTTGGTTGTTCTAATGCAAAATGAAGGCTAAAACATGATGGCTAAAACAGGGGTCAGTAATAAATCAGAATCAGTTTTATTGCCAGGTATGTGTACACAGGGCTGTTGAGTATGGTGATGGGGGGGCAGAGTGGGGGGGCTCCTCCTGAAGAGAGTCGAGGTGTTGCAGGATGTAATGCAGACCCAAGTTGATAACATCATCCACTGACCTGGTAGCCCTGTAGGCAAACTGCAGGGGGTCCAGCAGGGGGCCTGTAATGTCCTTCAGGTGGGCCAACACCAGTCTTTCAAAGGACTTTATGACTACAGATGTCAGGGCGACCGGCCTGTAGTCATTCAGTCCAGAGATGGAGGCTTTTTGGGGACCGGGATGACTGTGGAGCGTTTGAAGCAGGAGGGAACTTCACTCAGCTCCAGTGATTTGTTGAAGATCTGAGTGAAGATGGGGGCCAGCTGGTCACAGATTTTCAGGCGCGATGGTGAGACACCGTCAGGTCCAGGAGCCTTCCTGATCTTCTGCCTTTGGAAGAGGTGGCTCACGTCCTCTTCACAGATCTTGAGTGCAGGTGAGAGCTCAGACGGGGAAGCGGTGGAATAGTATGAGCAGTATGTCCAATGTTTAAGAGCTCTTCTCTGGTAAAAGTTACCAGAGAGGGACGGCAGAAAACCGCGTTAATTAACAAAAACACAAAAAGCACTACAGAGCGTAATCCCGAGGCGGCCGACTGCGGCGCCATCTTGATTATAAGATAAGGGCTTTTAAATTAAAAAGAAAAAAACGTTATAAATGAAAAGATTGGTTTTTTTTTTTACCTTCGTTAGAATGATAATTAGAAATATATTGTATGTTTTCATTTAAAATCATTTGTTGATGGTAGTCATGTCTTGACAAAACAGTGAATGTAGTCACTTATAATATTTACTTATATTCATATTCTTACATATTCAACAGTTATGGATCCCATTTACCCGAGAGACTGGCACCAACCGAGAGACCCATCTGTTGCTCTTCCTGCATGAAGTAGCAGCTTAAATGAAGATCTAGATTTGGATGTAACCAACCCATTTATTTTGTCATTCTTTTCGTTTTTATTACCGCATGTTGTGGAAATTGTTTGTATTTTCAGTTTTCTATTTATAATAATATTTTATCAATAATTCCTTTTATATTTTCATCATGTTGTTTTTTTCTTAAGTTGTCTACGTTGTAATCCTTTTTCTTAATAAAATCTTTATATTTAATTTGTTTGGACAGATTAGCATTCATGACAACCTGTTATGTTTGAGTAAAAAAATCCTTTAGCCACTATTCTGTTTTTATTAGAAGTAGATATGTCATTCAAAATCTGTGTATTTGGTCTATTGTTGGGCTATGGTTAGACGTCTGTTATCTTTTCACTGACAGCCCAAATTCAGCCACGTTTTTAACCGAGTGAAGTCTGTGCAAGATGCATATAGACGACCGCTACCCTCCTTGTTTTGTAGACATCGCCCAACCCTACTGAACATAGTGTTTCTGCTGCTCCCTGATGAAAGATACCTGCTAATACCTGTTAAAAAAAATTAAAAAATAAAAACTGGACTCTGATGGTAAAAGTTTTAACAAGCTAGATAAACAAATAGCTTTGGTTTTATATTTGATTTGAAGACATTAATGTTTAAGTTGAGATTTACAAGAAATATATTCTGGCTACTGTGTAAAGGGAATACTGCTGGTAAAAAGCATCTTATTTGTTTAAAGTGTTTGCAAACCACATATTATTGTACTTTTGTGTATATAGCAGTACATTTAAATTAAAAGAGCACAATACACTACTTTAGAATTCACATGCCATCACCCAGAGCTGCTTTCATGCCATAATTTGCCACACAGCCTGTGTTAGCACACAGTGGACTGGGGCAGATCCAGAGATTAGCACCCCTGTGTACTGAAGCAAGAATCAGTTTTTGATCTGAAATTGTTTTGAATTGAGAATCGATTTTGAATCTAATTGTGACCCAAAGAATTAGAATTGAATCATGAAATACCAAAAGATTCACTCCCTATAGTTAAAATAGTTACTTTGCATGAAAAATAACTAATGAGCTTTATAATAATATGCATTGTTCAACTATCCAACAGGATGTAGAATGGACGGAAATGAATTTTGACTTGCTGCTACGTACAAAGTGGCATCAGTAACATCAAATGTTATATGATTATGTTGCGCTGCCAGAGGCCATTTGAATAATGATTAAGATAACATTCCTTACATTAAATATATTTTGCCTACAGTAGTTTTGTACTTTTACTGAACAAACATTTTGAATGCGCTGTGAATTACTGTGGTATTTCTACTTAAACAATTTGAATACTTCTTCCACTACTGCTAATTTGTTTTTTTGCAAAATTATTATCTGCAAAGTAAAAAAAAGACGTCTGTGAGAGTAGTAGTCGATGAAGGAGTACCAAAATGCACTGTGAATTGAAGCGAGGTAGATGTACATCTTTGCTACTGATAATAAACACATTTTTAATAAAATGCCATCAGTTGAAGCGCACGTCGGAACTTAACAGTGTGACATCCAGCGGAAGTAAACAATACAAGCGACAGCGTTAGCTGCGTTTGAATTCACTGGAAGTCTTTATTGTAGTTGTAGCGCCTCTAATTATTTCATTTGTAATTAAGCAACAATGTCTTCAGTTGAGTGTTTGAGAGAATTTGTCAACGAGCGACTAACTGCTGCTGCTGAAGAAATATTCGGAGTTTTAAAAAAAACGATCGTCGAGTACGAGGAAGAGATCGATCGTCAGCGCAGACTGCTGGATATCGTTTGGAAACCCGACATAAAGCTACACAGGACAGGTGTGTAAAATTTCATTATTTTAGTAATATAGGAATTTGATACAAAATCATAAGTGTTTAAATATATACTGGTGCTCATTTCCTCACGTGTGTGCATCCTTTTCTTTCCCATCCCAGTAGTAGCCTGTTCCTTCTGTTGTCTGTCCCTCCAGAGCTCCCACAGCAACATGTCTGGAAGGAGGAGGAGGTTCTGGCTGACCAGCAGCTCTGTATTCAGGAGAGGAACTCCAGTCTGGACCAAGAGGACCCAGAGCCTCCACAGATTAAAGAGGAACAGGAGGAACTCTGTACCAGTCAGGAGGGAGAGCAGCTTGTACTGAAGCAGGAGACTGATACCTTTATGTTGACTCCTACTTATGAGGAAAGAGACCACAGTGAAGCAGAACTGAAAAGTGACCACCAGCTCCTCTCTCACAGCTGTCATGTAGCTGAGAGCCAAGATCAGAAAGGAGGCGAGCATGAAGACTCAGGATCAACTAGAGATGCAGAGCCAAAACAAAATCAAGATCACAAAAGCAGAAGCCACAGAAACAATGTAAACAAGTCTACCATGTCAGAGGTTCACCATAATCCTCACACAGGTAAAAACTCCTTCAAATGTGACACATGTGGAAAAGATTTTAAGTATAAGTCACTATTGCAGACACACCTGAGAATTCACACAGGTGAGAAGCCATATTCTTGCACTAGCTGTGGAAGAAGATTCAGTACCTCATCATATTTGAAGACTCATATAAGAATCCACACAGGCGAGAAGCCTTATTCTTGTACCAGCTGTGGGAAAAGATTTAGATACGCATCACATTTGAATGTTCATATAAGAATCCACACAGGTGAGAAATCATTTTCTTGCAAAACATGTGGGAAAGATTTCAGAACTAACAGTCACTTGAAAATCCACATGCGATATCATACAGGCGAGAAGCCGTACCTTTGCAAGACCTGTGGGAAATGTTTCCATGAAATGACAAAATTGAAAGTCCACATGAGAACCCACACAGGTGAGAAGCCGTACCTTTGCAAGATCTGTGGGAAAAGATTCACTGACAATTCAGGATTGAAAACACATCTGAGAATCCACACAGGTGAGAAGCCGTATACTTGCAAAACATGCGGGACATCTTTTAGCCAAAATGGTAGCTTGAAAATCCACATGAGAAGAGCCCACACTGGTGAGAAGCCGTAGCTTTGCACGATCTTCTGGACAATATATGCTGATGTGTCTAATTTGACATGGCACAAAAGATCGAATACAGGCATGTAGCATATTTGCTAAATATGTTATAATATGTAGATAATTCTGTTCTAGAGGTTTGTGGTCAAAACACACAAGAACTCACAGAAGTGAGGAGCTGCATCATTGCAGCATTTGTGGGGAAAGTTTTACTCAAATCAATTACTTGAACAAAAAAAACTGCAAGTAGGGCCCCCTGAAATCCTTTACATCTGTTTTGAGATTCTGTTTTTTTTGCTTTTTACATATTCTGTTTTCTGTTTTCATTTTTATGAATTGTGTGTGTTACGATTTAAGCACATTTCATCTTCAGAAAGAGTGTTTAATCATGTGGTAGATTAATAAAATAACATTTCAGTATGAAAATATTAAACTTGTCATCAGTATCAGTGAATTTGGTGTATTATACAGAAATGCTTATAGAAATATTAAAATGTATGCACCATTATTTATGGAACCCAATTCACAATAAATGTTTTGCAGCGGTAGGATATTAAAACACTAACGTCAGGCCACCAAGCCATTCTTAAATTCAAAATCCATTCATCCTTATACTGCTCCATGTAGTATAGTTTATTTCTGTTTACCTTTTTATGATTGTTGTATATTGACTGTTTCTTGTCTGGTATGTAGCAGAAGGGAGTTGCAAACAGAATTTCTTTTTACAACCCTTTTGTAAAATGACAATAAAATAATTTTGAATCCTTGAAAGTACTGTGAAATTATTTAGTTATACTATTTAATAGGGGACAATTCACAGTGAATGTATTGTTGCAATACATGTACTGTGAGTTGTCTTCTATTAAATAGGTGATTACCCGACTACTGAGAATCTGTTCTCACAGGACAGCCTCCATATGCTGCTGAGCACACATTGATAAGTGGGTCTGACGTAGGCTACTCTCATGTGGGCAATGCTCCTCCTAGTTTACAAAGCTTGACCGGTCGTAGCTTTCTCATTTTTTCCCAACTTAATATCTGACTCTGCCCACACAGCCACTAAGTATTCATCAAGCTTGCATTTTGCGTCCACTGATGTGATTGCACTTGAGAGTTTGTTGAAGTGATGAGCTTTTTCTAGTGTCCCGACGCACTTCAACATGACTGTGTGAGCCAACGATTGAGTAAGAAGGAGGCGCTGAATGGCAGCAGCATAGGTTTTTTCTGTTCAATTGGCTTAAGTGCTGTGGAAACCCAGATTTTTATAAATTGCCTCCACATTTTGGCAGATTCCACGATATTCTGCGTTTTACAGTTGATTAACATTTTTATTATCAATTTCTACGATTCCATCTGTGTTTTCTGCATTGTGGAGATCCATCATCTATGAATGGAAAACTTGCAGTATAGCTACATCTCAGCTGAAGGTTAAATGAGATGTCAATTTCTTAGTGTAAGGTTTCCCTACATGTGACTGTATTACTTGTGAAGGAGTTTCTCCTTCAGTAAGGCTTATATCACACAGGTTTCCCCAGGTCATGTAAGGGTCATTTACTGAGCTACAGTAAGCCAAAGGTGACATCCTGTGACTCTGAAACAGTAGGTCAGACTCTGTCTCTCCTCTCTGTTCAGCTGCCTTGATCAGAACGAACTCTGTGATCCATTCTCTAGGTAACCCAAGGTCCACATGATCTTAATTTTGTTTCTTTACAGCCAGACTGACCAGCTGTCTCTAGAAAGTGTTGCATGTGACTTGAATGACACACAATGTAACTTAGGGTAACAAACTTAATTCTAGGATAGTTTTTCTGTTATTTTTCTTTTACTGCTGTTTATACCTGTTTGTGTGCTTTGTGTATATAGATATTATCCTGCCATATGTGTTGTGTTTCGTTTTTGGTGAGTAGTAGTTTTTGTGTTTAGTTATTTTCTCTCCTGTACTGCAATAAGTCTTTTCTATTATATGCATTTGTATTTTCATGATTATGCAAATAAACTGAACTAAAGAGTGACATTTTACATTTGAGGGTTGCTGACATCACTGTTTTATATTGCTATATAAGAATTCCAATTGAATACTTACAATGTTAATTATACAGTGGGTACGGAAAGTATTCAGACCCCTTTAAATTTTTCACTCTTTGTTTCATTGCAGCCATTTTCCAAAAATCAAAAAGTTCATTTTATTTCTCAGTAATGTACACTCAGCACCCCATCTTGACAGAAAAAAACAGAAATGTAGAAATTTTTGCAAATTTATTAAAAAAGAAAAACTGAAATATCACATGGTCATAAGTATTCAGACCCTTTGCCGTGACACTCATATTTAACTCAGGTGCTGTCTATTTCTTCTGATCATCCTTGAGATGGTTCTACACCTTCATTTGAGTCCAGCTGTGTTTGATTATACTGATTGGACTTGATTAGGAAAGCCACACACCTGTCTATATAAGACCTTACAGCTCACAGTGCATGTCAGAGCAAATGAGAATCATGAGGTCAAAGGAACTGCCTGAAGAGCTCAGAGACAGAATTGTGGCAAGGCACAGATCTGGCCAAGGTTACAAAAAAATTTCTGCTGCACTTAAGGTTCCTAAGAGCACAGTGGCCTCCATAATCCTCAAATGGAAGACGTTTGGGACGACCAGAACCCTTCCTAGAGCTGGCCGTCCGGCCAAACTGAGCTATCGGGGGAGAAGAGCCTTGGTGAGAGAGGTAAAGAAGAACCCAAAGGTCACTGTGGCTGAGCTCCAGAGATGCAGTCGGGAGATGGGAGAAAGTTGTAGTAAGTCAACCATCACTGCAGCAATCCACCAGTCGGGGCTTTATGGCAGAGTGTCCCGACGGAAGCCTCTCCTCAGTGCAAGACACATGAAAGCCCGCATGGAGTTTGCTAAAAAACACCTGAAGGACTCCAAGATGGTGATAAATAAGATCCTCTGGTCTGATGTGACCAAGATAGAACTTTTTGGCCTTATTTCTAAGCGGTATGTGTGGAGAAAACCAGGCACTGCTCATCACCTGTCCAATACAGTCTCAACAGTGAAGCATGGGGGTGGCAGCATCATGCTGTGGGGGTGTTTTTCAGCTGCAGGGACAGGACGACCGGTTGCAATCGAGGGAAAGATGAATGCGGCCAAGTACAGGGATATCCTGGACGAAAACCTTTTCCAGAGTGCTCTGGACCTCAGACTGGGCCGAAGGTTTACCTTCCAACAAGACAATGACCCTAAGCACACCGCTAAAATAACGAAGGAGTGGCTTCACAACAACTCTGTGGCTGTTCTTGAATGGCCCAGCCAGAGCCCTGACTTAAACCCAATTGAGCATCTCTGGAGAGACCTGAAAATGGCTGTCCACCAACGTTTACCATCCAACCTGACAGAACTGGAGAGGATCTGCAAGGAGGAATGGCAGAGGATACGCAAATCCAGATGTGAAAAACTTGTTGCATCTTTCCCAAAACGACTCATGGCTGTATTAGATCAAAAGGGTGCTTCTACTAAATACTGAGCAAAGGGTCTGAATACTTATGACCATGTGATATTTCAGTTTTTCTTTTTTAATAAATTTGCAAAAATTCCTACATTTCTGTTTTTTTCTGTCAAGATTGGGTGCTGAGTGTACATTACTGAGAAATAAAATGAACTTTTTTGATTTTTGGAAAATGGCTGCAATGAAACAAAGAGTGAAAAATTTAAAGGGGTCTGAATACTTTCCGTACCCACTGTATATGTTGTAGTTACTAGGGGTGAGGGAAAACATTGATTCATGCAAGAATTTAAATTCCATTAAATGTTATTACATAAAACAATTACTCTCATCAAAACAGTTGATACCCACAGTAACACTGCCTCCCAAGCAAAATCAGAATCAAGTATTTCGGGAACCCTACCAGTGCCCGGGCCCACATCACATGCCATCACCCAGAGCTGCTTTCATGCCATAATTTGCCACACAGCCTGTGTTAGCACACAGTGGACTGGGGCAGATCCAGAGATTAGCACCCCTGTGTACTGAAGCAAGAATCAGTTTTTGATCTGAAATTGTTTTGAATTGAGAATCGATTTTGAATCTAATTGTGACCCAAAGAATTAGAATTGAATCATGAAATACCAAAAGATTCACTCCCTATAGTTAAAATAGTTACTTTGCATGAAAAATAACTAATGAGCTTTATAATAATATGCATTGTTCAACTATCCAACAGGATGTAGAATGGACGGAAATGAATTTTGACTTGCTGCTACGTACAAAGTGGCATCAGTAACATCAAATGTTATATGATTATGTTGCGCTGCCAGAGGCCATTTGAATAATGATTAAGATAACATTCCTTACATTAAATATATTTTGCCTACAGTAGTTTTGTACTTTTACTGAACAAACATTTTGAATGCGCTGTGA